TATATACAGTCTATGGTTGCACTTCATCATATTGCATCATAATTTTGAACTGTAACTTTGTTGAGGTGACGACCAAAATAAAACAACCAATCAATCGATTGAATCTTCACTCTTTAATAGATAGATAAATATATAGATACTTTATTGATCCCCATAGGATAAATTCAGGTGTCCAGTAGCAGCAAAAATAAAAAATAAAATTGATCATTCTAAAAACTTAAAAATAGTAATAATCAGCAAAGGCCATTCAGATCACAGCAGAAGAGGTGGAGTAGCCTTTGGGTGGAGCAGGACGGCTCACAGAAGAAGAAATGGAGTAAAATGCGAAATGCTTCATTAGCATTTTTCAAAAAGTTAGCATTCCTCCAGTGGATTTTCACCCGATCCGCTTGGTTCGAACCATTATTCCTCTCCGCTCGGTCCGGACCAGTGCAAAACCATGATCACTGTACAGCACCAACATCTCAGGTAGAAATAAGCAATAAAAAAAAATAAAAAAAATCACAAAACAACTGTTTCAGAGCTACTTAGGACTTGCAGCCGTTTTCCAGCGCATTCAAAAGAGTGATCATTTATCTTTTCTTGTTATGTTCAGCGCTTTGAGTCCCCTTGTGTATGAAATGTGCTATACATTCAGATTGGTAAGTAAGTAAGTCATCTTTATTTATGTACCGCCTTTCACAGACAAGAGTCACAAAGGGGTTTACAATTGTTATTTTTTTGGGCATTTGTCCACTCACTCCACACAGAGATGGGAGCGGGGTGATTCATATCACACTAATATTCCTGAAATAATCCTGTTAGGTTTCCCGCATTAATAACATGGTATCAGTGGTTCAGGTGAGCTGGTGGAACATGATAATCTCCAGGTGTCTGTCCTTGAGTTGTGGCTCTTGCTCCTGGTCCAGGTGCATCCATCATAACTTCCACATTAACACAAAATCACACCAGAAAGCAGCCAAAGAGCAGCAGGGACCACAGAATGGAAGTTGGTAAACAGAAAAACAAGGGAAAGAAGATGTAGCAAGAGTTGTAGTGTCTATATTCAACCCCCAAAATGTAAAACTGTAATAGAAAATGTATGTATGCATTCATTTTTCAGGCAGAAGAGTGGAAAAGACAGGATCATCTTCAACCAACCAATCAGCTCTCAGCCAAAAGGATCAAATAGTGCCTCAATACAAAGCGAAATTTTTCGGACAAAACTGTCTCAGACCTGGATCTACAGCCTCAGTCTTGGATCTACAGCCTCTGAAATAGGAGCTGAAAAACCTTGTTGACTCTGTAAGATTGTTTCAAAAAACAAAATATATATCTTAATTCAAGAGTTTCAAAGTAAGCAAGTGTAACAAATGTATTACATCTGTCAAACTCAGTCAGAAGTTTTGTCTGTGTGGAAGCAGGAGAGTCTCTTTAGACCACTCTGTTTAGATTTTGGGGATTTTTTTGGCTCTCTTACTCTCTTAACAGCTGCTGCAATATTGGATTTAGTGGAATGGACGCTGAGTGCCAGAGTGAGAGTGGTAAATCAGGAAATAAGTCTTTTTCAGGGCGCCTTGAGAGGTGGCTGCACCCTGCCAGCAGCAGCGGGGGTCCCTTCAAAGCATTCGGCAATTACTGTTAAAACTGCAGCTTGACTTTGAGAAATAAACTGTGCTATATCCAGAGATTTAAGTTTGTTTAAGTCCTTGGACTGGAGCAGAATATTGAGTCTCTTGAAGCAGAGTTAACACTGGCTCCAAAGTATTGAATCAAATTTAAAGCTGAGGTACGTAACTTTTTATGTATCCCAACCAAAAGAGTCTTAGAAATTAGAACACAGCTGTCTTATTAGAGAACCAATAAGTTGTTTCTGGTCTCTCTCTTTTGTCTCTTTCTCTGGTATCTTGCTGTTCCCTATCCCTTGGTCTCTTTCTCTTGGTCTCCCTGTGTCAGGTCTCTGTCTCTGATCTCACTTTAGTCTCTCTCCAGTCTCTCTCTGGTCTCTCCTAGTCTCACTCTCTAGTACATCTCTGGTCCGTCTCTGGTCTCTCTTTCTTGTGCCTTTCTCTGGACTCTTTTTCTCTAGTCCCTTTCTTTGGTCTCTCTCTGCTCTCTCACTCTTGGTCTCACTCCAATCTCTCTTTCTGGTCTCTCTCTCTTGTGACTTTCTCTGGTCTTTCCCCAGTATCTCTTTGGTCTCTCTCCGGTCACTCGCTGGTCCCTCTCTCTTGGTCTCTCTCTCTGGTCTCTGTATGGTCTTTCTCCATTCTCTCTCTGTGGTCTCTCTTTTGTCTCTCTCTCTTCTCTTTCACATTACATTACTAATTGATCGAAACATCTCCCTAAATACCTTTAATACAGAAGAAGCCGGTTAGTAACTCAAACAGGTTCCATTTGTGGGACTCTGGAGCCTATATAGCAACAGCCTAGTAACCGCAAAGCCAATCAGGAGCTTCCAAGCTTAAGCCGGGAACAGAACTTGCCTGATTGGTCTCTCTCTGGTGGACAGATGGGCTCAAGACATTATCAAAATGAAAGCACCAGAATCATAGAGTGTTAAACCCAAATGGTGAGTGTCACACATTTTTTAATTAGCTAGAGGAGTTTGTAGTACAGACTACAGACCAAAAGTTTGGGTAGACCTTTTTTTTATTTATTCATGACTATGAAAATTGTAGATTCACACTGAAGGAATAAAACTATGAATGTGGAATTATGTACATACTTTAAAAGTAGCCATCTTTCGCTCTGATTACTGCTTCTTTCTTGGCATTCTCTTGATGAGCTTCAAGAGGTAGTGACCTGAAATGTCTTCAACAGTCTTGAAGGAGTTCCCAGAGATGCTTAGCACTTGTTGGCCCGTTCACCTTCACTCTGTGGTCCAGCTCACCCCAAAACCATCTGGATTGGGTTCAGGTCTGATAACTGTGGAGGCCAGGTCATCTGGCCCAGCACCCACCACTCTCCTTATTGGTCAAACAGCCCTTACACAGCCTGGGTGTGAATCTACAGTAAATAGTCATGAAAATAAAGGAAACTCATTGAATGAGAAAGTGTATCCAAACTTTTGGTCTGTGCTGTAAGTCAATAGGAGCCAGAGCGACTTCTCTCTTAGCTAGTGAGCATCATCCATATGTATACAGTCTATGCTTAAGTGAACATATACTTTACTGTCTTCACTGAACATTCAAATAAATATTGTCTTATCATTCATATTAGCTCACAGTTGTCATAAAAGTGAGTACATGGGATCTGCTAAGCTTGTAAGAATCTCCCTGTGGCAGAGTAAATATTGAAGAAGCAGACGCGTTAACAGAGCCACCACAGAAATGCACTGAGGCTTATTTTATTAAGATCTGTGACATGAGTCACAGACAATCGGTGTATTTGACTTTCAGCCTGCGCCCCACAGATCCACATCTGAAGTATTCTAAACTACTTGTGCATGATGTAAAGATCATATGTGAGAATGAAATGGACAGAAGTCCATTATTGTCCGATGTTGGAGTATTTGGCCGACCGAGTGTACTGCTGCTCAAACAGGCGAATATTGTTAAAAGAAGATTTAAAAAGAGTAGTTCCTGAAATCACTGTAGTTCATGTGAAATCATATAATATGTGGTGTAACTGTGTGGTGTATGAAGGGTAAACATGCTTTTGGGCTGTAAGCCCCAACAATGTCACCAGAGGGAAAGGTAGAAAGTGTCAGTTTGGGACACAGTTTGTGTCAATGTTGTCAATTCTGTCAAAAAGGCAGAAAACCTCAGAGTTTCACTCATAGTCTCGCTCTCTGGTCTCAAGGTTCAAGCTTCAAGGTTCCACTTTATTGTGTTTTAGTTTCACAGTGCTTAAACATTCAAGACACTCTCAACATCAGGAGAATTGTCTGCACTATTACAGCACAGGAATATACCATAGTATTGCACAATCCCATCGAGATTGTAAAATATTTTTACACAATAAGCAACAAAGCAAATACATTGACTAAAGTGCTAGAGCAGTACATGCACTGGTCCCTCTCTGGTCTCTATCTGGTCTCTCTGGACATAATAAGACATAATAAGAACCATGTTTAAGATAAGTCATTACAGAAAACCAAATAACAATCTACCCACACATACGTAGAACTGCTTCATTCACATTTCAGGCTTTTCCTGTTCCAAAACCAAACGAATAAAACCTGGCGACCCTGAACAGGACAGTTTTATGATCTGGAGTTGACGTCTGTAAATGAGAAACTGTGTAATCCTCTCAGCCCCGTGTGCGTTTCTGATGAATATCCACATTTAATTCCTTCTTGTCAGATCAGTTTGTCTTGAGAGAGCTGCGTCTGGATCATGATGAGACCGCCAGCCACCGGTCACATCCACAGCTCGGTTTGGACCTGTCATCCCTAGCACATTTTTCACTCAGTCCTAATTTGTTGCTAGAAACCCCGCAGCCGGCTGTTCGAAGGTGTTTTGTCTCGCAAACTGACCAGAAAATTGCCAGTCCAATGGTTTAACACAGAAAGTCTATAATCTGACGCCCTGGCTGTTTGGTTCTGTCACTCTGCGCACAACACAGAGGATCCTGTGGCGGCAAAGTGACTGTTGCCAGATGAAACCTTTTAGGCAAGGCAAGGTTATTTGAATAGCACAGTTCATACAGAGGGCAACTCAAAGTGCTGAACAAATCAAGATAGAAACAATCACACAAGGCATTAAAACTATAAATAATCACACTGCATTAAAAAGGAGTTTTTGAGTTGTTGCAGCGAAACAGAACTGCTAACCTGGATTTGAAAATTGTCAGAAAAGAAGCCTGTCTCACATTTTCAGGAGGACTGTTCCAGATTTTAGCCGCATTAATCTGAAACACTGCCTCCCCATGTTTAGACCTGAATCTGGGCACCAGTAGGAGGCCAGTCCCTGTGCTTCTCAGAGTGACACTAACATGTCACAGATGTACTTTGGTAGGAGGCCATGGAGAGAAGTACTGTTCCTGAAGTACAGTTCATGGACATGACAATAGTGTGTTCATGGAGTTGCTCTGACCTGACAGACGCCATTGATGCACATGTCCAGGGCACCATCTCTGCAGCGTGTACCGTCCAGCACTTTGGGGGCCAGCTCCACAGTGAGGCCCCCCCCTGAGGCCTGGCACCGGAGTGCACAGGGAGCAGAGGGGTCATAGGGCGTTGGACTCCACTCATGGGACACCCCCTGCAGCTTCAGGTCGTTGTGGGCGGAGCACTGCTGAGCACGGAAGTCCCCGGCCTCCAGGGGGCAGTCCTGAGAGCAGGAAAGAACAGGGGAGAATAGGAAGAGAAATAAAAGAGAGAAATACAGAATGTTTTTTTACTTTCCGTCTCGTCTTCCCCTCTGCTCCTCCCTGATTTGGCTTTGTTATAAAGCCTAATAAAATAAGGGACAAAGAAGTTCTTAAGTCTCTTTTGAGGATCTTTGAGCTCTCAGTGTCCCCCCCGCTTAAGACACAAAATAGGTTGTGTCTTAACTGTGTGCAGGTGGAAGTCGCTGTGTTTGATGTGGACCAAAGAGCAGACGTACCGCACTGCTGCAGCGTCTATAGCGGAGATTTTTCCCGTCGCAGTTTCTGCAAAAGAAAAAAACGTAATTCTTGAGAATTATATTTAAGGCGACAGGAGGAGTTCGCACAATCATGTGTAAGAAATCATGCACAAGGAAGCTCAAAGTGATGTACGGAACAAGGATATTATTATCAGTGTGGATCCAAACATTCAGTTTTTTTACCTGAATTTGAACATTGTCAGAGTAAAAGCGTCTCACACGTTTTCAGGAAGACTGTTACAGATTTTAGTTGCATGAATCTGTCTTCACATGTTTCGTCCTGACTCTGGGAACCAGTCGGAGGCCAGTCCCTGTGCTCCTCCAAGTGCATTTCATGTTTTCGAATGTGAAATAATTGAATTAAGAGATCCTTTACCCGTCCCACAGTGGGGACATTTCCGTTTTGCATCAAAGACTAGAAACATTTGGATTATCATATAAAAACGGCAACACATATCTCAGCTGATAATTCTCTTGTAATTGTAATTTTATTTTTGGAAACTGCTACACACAGCCACAGGGTTGTAACAAACGCACATGCACACCAGAGAAATAACCAAATCTAATTATGAAGTGATGCATGAATGAAGCTAAAAACAACTCATGGAAACCAAAAGAAAAGTGTGTCTTCTGGAGCCAAAGAACAGACCGTCTCCCAGTTAACAGTTTTATCATATAAGCGTCGTGTTCTTTTCCCTGGACGACCTCAGACTGATGTCACTGAACAAAATGTCGACAGTATTGTACAGATGCAGCGTGAAAACCCTTTACCACAGACACACACCACTCTGACCCATAACACCTTATCTCTAGAGAGCTGAGCAGGGTGACAGAATGGAAGAACCAGAGCCGCAAGCAGGGATGAACGGCCCTCGCCTTCTACAAACCGTGTACATGACTTTTGCAAGCTATCAGGCACAAAAAGGACGCAGAGACTAGGGGTGAGGTGGGTGAAGTGTCTTGCCCAAGGACACACAATGCTCTTGTCTCAATCCTGGTCTTAATCTTCAATATTATACTGGTACTGTAACAAGTGAATTGATTTAAGGACAGCCATTCCGGCTTAATCTAAATAGTTGTGTTTTTTGAAATGTCACATAAACGTGAGAAGAAGTTTCATGACTCAGATAACAAAATTAAATGAAAATATGTTTATTTTACTCAAACCCAAAGTGTAACAGACATCTCTGTGAGGGCCTGAGCTTTGATTTGGCCAAAAGTACTACAATCTCATACTCACTGAGCTCTGAAAATAGCTTTGGAACAAAAATCAGGGCAACTGGTAAATTACCAAATCCTCACAATATAACCCACAATAGCTAAAATGCATCCAGTTTCCTAAGGCCGGTAGAAACATACAAACACACAGTTAGGCAACAGTACACACAATGGGCCTCATGTATGAAACTTGCGTACGGCCAAATCAGGGTGTAATTGAGGCGTACGCAAAATATTTACACTTTTCGGCATTTATCTGGACGTGAGCGTACGGTACGCACATCTCACACGTTCATAAATCCGACGTTGGATCTTGCGTAAATGGAATATGCACCCAAAATATACACCCTTTTCTGCGCAACTTTCATACATGAGGGCCAATAACTCAAGATATATAACATGAATAATTGAATTTAATTTAGAAAGAGAAAATCCAAAGAAAAGTAGAACTTCATCTCTGGGAGCACAACTAGTTTCATTTAGTAGAATTTAGTCCTGCACCTTTGTACATTACAGTCTTCCCAAGAGTAGAAATTATAATGAATTCAACATCTCCATCTGATGTTAGAAAAAGGGAACTACATGGTGATACATTTGTTTTCATCTTTTATACAAGTTTATCTATTCTCTACTTATGAAGTGGTTTCACATTCTCAAACCCTAAATGCCCATAAGCAAATACTGTATTTTCCGAACTACAAGCCTGATTGTAAGCGGGAGGCTCCAATTTTTAGAATTAAAATGAAGAAAGAAATTGCACTAAACCGCACCCATCCAACATTGTAATATTGAAAAATGTTTCTCAAAAACGTTTATCCTGAGTAATAAGAGTAAGAAGTGAGTCACTGACTGTTCTCAGTGTGAAGCAGAAAGATGAGGAGCAGACTTTCAGGTCTATACAAGGAATCCAACAAATATATAGTATATTAAATATTTACACAAAGATATGATAAATGAGGTTTACATTTAAATCTTACATCAAATCTTTTTGGTCTACTGTTACTTGGCAAAATATTTTTGGTCACATAAAAAAAAAAAAATGCAGGAAAAAAGGCGCGGCTTATAGTCAGTAATAATACAATAAGTATTCCCATCTCACAAAGATGACCACTTTCATAAGACAAAAGTGTGAACAGTTTTCATTAAACCCAGATTTTGAACGTTCTTCAGATGAGTTTTTCTAATCCCTGTTACAGGGCAACCTCAAACTATACCTCATGTCCAGTATATAGAATACATGATATATCATTCTGTCCTTACCTGAGGGGGGAGTGAGGGAAAACTCAAATATTAATCAAACAACCCAAATCAGAGTCCACCTGCAGCCAGCACCTGCCAGAACAAGTCTCCTGCTAGAACCAAAATGTCAAACTAAACAATCTGAAGCAATTCTCCCACAGACACCTCTCCGACCGCTCGGACAAGCTGCTAATGCTCTGAACGCTCAGACAGGTTGCTAACGTGCTGTCGTTCTGTTAGAATCTGTGATGGCATGTCTTCCCCAGAGCATTAAGAGTTATTTTGTCCTAGGGCTTTCAAATAATATTAGAGAGAAGAGGAGGGAGCCCACTCTTTCCTTGTGTAAAAATATAGACCTCTGTAATCAGAAAACTGGATAACTACAAGGTGTTGCACCCCCTTCCTGCCTGGAAGCCGCGCCAGTCCTGGACCTACAACCTCAGTCCTGGATATCATCATCTCACCCTATCTCTGTTTCCTCTACATGTCCACTAGAGAAATGCTACGCAGTATACGCCGGGCATATGCTATGCTGATGACACAACACTGTCACGGGCCATCACCCTTAAAAGCATCACCAATGACAGAACTATGGCGAGGGAAGCAGAAAATCTGGATAAATGGGCTCCAGAAAATTGCATGCTGCTACAGTTCCTTGCGAAAGTATTCGGCCCCCTTGAACCTTTCAACATTTCGCCACATTTCAGGCTTCAAACATAAAGTGATAAAATTTTAATTTTTTATCATGAATCAACAACAAGTGGGACACAATCGTGAAGTGGAACAAAATTTATTGGATAATTTAAACTTTTTTAACAAATAAAAAACTGAAAAGTAGGGCGTGCAATATTATTCGGCCCCTTTACTTTCAGTGCAGCAAACTCAGTCCAGAAGTTCAGTGAGGATCTTTGAATGATCCAATGTTGTCCTAAATGACTGATGATGATAAATAGAATGCACCTGTGTGTAATCAAGTCTCCGTATAAATGCACCTGCTCTTTGATAGTCTCAGGGTTCTGTTAAAGCGCAGAGAGAACCATGAAGACAAAGGACCACACCAGGCAGGTCCGAGATACTGTTGTGGAGAAGTTTAAAGCCGGATTTGGATACAAAAAGATTTCCCAAGCTTTAAACATCTCAAGGAGCACTGTGCAATCAATTATATTGAAATGGAAGGAGTATCAGACCACTGCAAATCTACCAAGACCCAGCCGTCCCTCCAAACTTTCATCTCAAACAAGGAGAAGACTGATCAGAGATGCAGCCAAGAGGCCCACGATCACTCTGGATGAACTGCAGATAACTACAGCTGAGGTGGGAGAGTCTGTCCATAGGACAACAATCAGTCGTGCACTGCACAAATCTGGCCTTTATGGAAGGCATGGAATTTCTCAAAGATATCCATAAAAAGTCTCTTTTAAAGTTTGCCAAAAGCCACCTGGGAGACACACCAAACATGTGGAAGAAGGTGCTCTGGTCAGATGAAACCAAAATCGAACTTTTTGGCCACAATGCAAACCGATATGTTTGGCGTAAAAGCAACACAGCTCATCACCCTGAACACACCATCCCCACTGTCAAACATGGTGGTGGCAGCATTATGGTTTGGGCCTGCTTTTCTTCAGCAGGGACAGGGAAGATGGCTAAAATTGATGGGAAGATGGATTGAGCCAAATACAGGACCATTCTGGAAGAAAACCTGTTGGAGTCTGCAAAAGACCTGAGACTGGGACGGAGATTTATCTTCCAACAGGACAATGATCCAAAACATAAAGCCAAATCTACAATGGAATGGTTCACAAATAGACGTATCCAGGTTTTAGAATGGCCAAGTCAAAGTCCAGACCTGAATCCAATCGAGAATCTGTGGAAAGAGCTGAAGACTGCTGTTCACAAACGCTCTCCATCCAACCTCACTGAGCTCGAGCTGTTTTGCAAGGAAGAATGGGCAAGAATTCCAGTCTCTCGATGTGCAAAGCTGATAGAGACATACCCCAAGCGACTTGCAGCTGTAATTGCAGCAAAAGGTGGCGCTACAAAGTATTAGCGCAAGGAGGCCGAATAATATTCAGTTTTTATTTGTTAAAAAAGTTTAAATTATCCAATAAATTTCGTTCCACTTCACGATTGTGTCCCACTTGTTGTTGATTCTTGACAAAAAATATTTTTTTTATATCTTTATGTTTGAAGTCTGAAATGTGGCGAAATGTTGAAAGGTTCAATAGGGCCGAATACTTTTGCAAGGCACTGTAAATGGGTATAAGTCTGTGGAACTCAGAATCTGCTTTTCCAAAACTCCAACCCAGCCAGATTCCCTGGTACTGGGTGGTAAGGAGGTTCAGGTCATCACCACCACAAAATACTTCCATCTGGATTTGGATCCAAGTGGACATTCCCATATCGGCTAGATGGAGAAGAAGGCTTCAACGCACCTCCACTTCCAAAGACATGGTCTACCACAGCAGGACCTTCTGACCATCTTCTCCACACTGGTGAGGCCATGTCTGTAGTATGGGAGTGTCCTTCTGGTGGGCTGTAATAAAAATCAAGCAGCACAGCTGGAGAGAGGGCTGAAGAGAGCTCTGAGGATAATCTCGAGAGGACAGCCTTGTGCTCTGGAGCTACCATCACTGCAGAGCAGGAAAGAGGAGGCTGCAGTGAACTTGGTCACAAACATGGGTCACAGTGAGCACCCACTACATGAGCTCCTTCCCAAAGTCCAGAGGACAGAGCTTGCAGATATATTTGAAGAACAAGGACAACTTTTTAGACATTCACTGTTAAATGTTTATCCGTTTTTACTATTTTAAAATGTAAATTTTAGCTTCAAGCCTGAATTCAATGAACATAAACAGCATATTTCCACCTGTGAAGCATTGCTATTATCAGGAATATCCTTCTTAAAAGTGATGCAGAAAAACTAATCCACGCATTTGTCACCTTGACTGTAATGCCCTGCTGACAAAAAAAAATCTTTCAGCTTGTCCTAAATACAGCAGCAAAGATCATTACCAGCACCAAAAGGTAGGAAACACATAACTGTTAAAATTGCTCCACTGGCTTCCTGAGGAGTGTACAGTATAATAAAATTAAAAACCCTTCTTTTAACATATAAGGGCATAACTGATGTGACACCACACTACCTACAAGAAAAGTTAGTGTCATATCAAGCTGAGCTCTGCGCTCACAAAATACCAGACTGTCAAAAAGTGTCAAAAAGCACAGTCGTCGGCAGAGCATTTACCTACCAAACTCCTATGGAATCAGCTCCCCATCCACATTAAGGGTGTATTCAGACCTGAAAAGTCCTTTGCTCCGCTTGCTTGATCCGAATCAAAAGCAGACCAAACTTTTTTCTTTTGCTCCGGTTCGTATTCAGACTGTCCTTTTTGCAAGTGAACTTTTTTATATAAACATATCGACACGTGTGACGATCGGCGCTCCTATTGGACAGCGAGAGCTCACGGAGGATAGACGCGGAACCGGCAGAAAACATTGAGGGCTCGTATGTGCAGCATGTCTGCTCTGCCTCTGTTTGCTCTTTTTAGAGCAAAACCACCTTCAACATCAACAGCAGCAGCTCGGATGACACAGGCCAAACACGTTGTTTTAAATATTGGAACAGCGTCGGAGAATGCGTGAGGAGAAAGCCGAAGGAGACTGTCTGTGCGCTCCGTGCCCTGTCCCACACATGGATCTATGATAATAACGGCCCTGTTCAGCATTGTGGATAAACCATGGATCTATAATAACCACGGGACAAACAGACGCTGAGGATCAGGTAGGAACCAAAGAACACAATTCACTACATGATGCGGGATATTTCTTTTTGAGACGTGAGTCAAACAGTGTCAGGTTTTTAATAATGCAAAGTATTTGAAGATGCTGCCATTAACATCAATGTAAACTGTGAACAGTTTTAACAGTTTTAACTCCATAAGCCTGTTGCACAGCGTCTCCTCACTGCTCCAGGTCTGCACACGGATCAGTGTTGTTGTGTAGCGTTAGCTGCATAGTTAGCAGCATAGTTAGCCGCTGCATGGCTAATTCCTCAGTTTCTTTGTGCGGTGGCTTGTTAAGCCCAAAAAATGCGCACGTATCTTGGAGTTGTGTCGGATCGACACCGGATGTATTCAGACCTGATTCGGTTTGGACCAGAATTAGTTTGGAAGCGGACCGAGACCACCTAAAAAAGTGGGTCTCGGTTCGGTTCTTTGGTCCGGACCTGGATTCGTTTGTGTGTATTCAGACCTGCATAAAAGCTTCGGATCAGAGTTCCAAACGAATCCTGGTCCGTTTAAAGTGGAGCAAATGTGCAGGTCTGAATACACCCTAAGAAAGCAGATACAGTCCATACATTCAAGGCCAGGCTTAAAACAGTCAACATTTATGACTTCAGCTGTCTGTTTGTTCATTGCTATTCAGCCGCGGTCCCATTGTCTGTTTCATGGCGAGAGGATGGGACCCCTGAATCCGGCCTCCACCTGTGGACTGTTCTCCCCGGCTCATGGGCTGCACCCCCTCCCCGCCTGGGAGCAACAAGAGGTCACAGACTAAGAAATTGCTTTGGTTCTCGGTGCAAACAAGTCAAAAGTAAAGAAAGAATAAGGCATAATAAAACATTTCTAAAATGTTACATTTTCTAAAATATCAAATGAAGGGCTTTAGATTAAGGGCTATACAAGAATAAAATTAATTTAAAATGAATTTAATTGAATTTTACTTTGTCCTTAATTTCCTGGCATTCTGAGTTTGAAAAAGGAGCAGTAACTCGGGAGGATTTGTGCAAGCATTTTGTAACAGGCAAAGCGAGATTTTTAGTATACCACTGTTAATATACAAAGTAACTTAAAGGGAAAAAAAATAAATTTTACGAACACACAGGGCATTAAAATCCCTTAATACAGTGCATTGAAAAGAACTCAAACCTAATTCTGATGTATACTGCAGTGTTGTGCGTGAACGGGTTCTAAAGAACGCGTTCATTGAACACGCTCATTTTTTCGTGAACGTTGAACTGAACGCAACACATTTTTAAAAAAAGAACTTGAACGTGAATTGGTTCATTTTATGTGTCATGAACGGCAGACATCACTATGATGTTGGAATCTGTTTTCTCTTTTGAAACGCAACAAGAGAAAGTTCCTCTCTCCTGTATTCTCGCACTTTTTCCGCCGAAATCTAAAAATTCCTACGGTTTCCACCGTCTTTGAACGCACCCCGACTCCGTGTTGCGGTGCGGCGCTGTGAGCTGGTGCTTTTCACATGTGCCCGAGTCGTGATGAAAACACAGGGTGAGTTAGCGACAAAGTTTACACCGTTTACATTTGACATAAAGTATAGACACACGCACTGCAGCACATTACTGTTTGTAGTTTATGAGCAGAGATGGGACCACTCCGTTTGGCTCCCATTGAAAACCATGTAAATCTGGTCTGTTTTGTAGTCAAAAGGCTCTCCTCCTGTGGGGTGTATAGGAGATATATACATATATATATATATATATATATATATATATATATATATATATATATATATATATATATATATATAGCTCCTAGTGTGAAAAAACTATTTAAGTATCTCACGAAAAAAGTAAAATGAACTGAACTTTTAACTAGTTCAGAATTAAAAATGTGAACTTTGAACGTGAACTGTTCACTTTGAGCATGTATGAACTGAACTTGAACTAGTTCAGAAAAGCTGTGAACTGGCACAACACTGGTATACTGGGGGAATATTAGTGAATTATGTTAAAACTCAAGGTATATCATTATACTAAATGACAAATGTATGGTCCTCTGAATGCATAACTTTGACAGCCTTTGAAAATATGTCCCAAAATGAACACACGTGGGAGTGGATTCCTAATTCTAAAACTTGTTATTCTACATCTTTGTGAAGGATTTGGACAAACACAGAATGTGGCGTCTCTGTCAGATTCTCTCATTAAACCACAGTGAGTGACGTCTGGAGTCTGGAGCTGCTCTAACCATGCACTCTGGCCGCGGGTCATATGCATATTTCAGAGGAGTTGTCAAAACTGGTCAGCTTCTCTCATCCAGGTCCAGTTAATTATATGTGATACAGAATGGATTAAACAGAGACTCCAAAGCACAGCTGCACTTATCTGTTGTTTATTTACTTTCATGTTCCTTTTTTATTTTTATTTTTTCATGCAGACTATATGCAGCACTTTATCTCAAAGCAAACTTCCCTTGGCGATAATAAAGTTTATCTAATTGGCATCTGGTCGCACCAAGGAGGCCCAAATATCAGCGATGCATATCAGACTCGGTCCTGGTCTGTGCAGGAGGTACAGAGATTGCGGGACTTCCACAGGATCAGAGGAACAGGTGAGTGCTCTGCAGTGTTATTAAGGAGATGACGACAGCCAATCTGCAAATGCACAGATCAAAACAAACCAAAATGTGTTGAGGTTGACAAGAGACACCAAAATCTCCCATTCGTTGGTCTCCCTGTCAGCTGATGAGGAGCCGCCTTAGTGAATGCTGAGGTCTATGAGGATACTTCCTGGGATGCCCTCGTGAATTTTAGACTGTTCTTCCAGGGGAGTGGATCCCTCTCAATATGGGCCTCCCTGAGGGTCTTCACTTTTTCCCAATGGGTTTTTGAGTGGTTCCTCTCTGATACATGAGCCTGGACCTTTCGGCACATTAATTAACATTTCTGGACAATGGTCACCCGCTCCCTATAACTCCTATGTGTTTGTAATTATTGCATTTCCTGTGTTTGAGCTGTTTTATTCTCTAATCTATTATTGGTAATTCTTCAACCTTGTAATATCCTCCGAGATGACAATTTTTGTGAAGCAGCCGTAACCGCCAGTTCATACAGTACATCTCACCCAGAGTCCAGGCAGCGGCGCAGCGAGAACGAAGCCCCGCCCCCACAGGTGCGGGAACAGTCGCTCCATGGGCCCCAGGCGTCCCAGCCCATGTTCGGTGTCGCTGCAGAGGTCAGGCCTGAGCGGGGAAACCTGGACCCCTGCACACAAGCACAACAAGAAGTTGTCAGTCACAGAGAAGCGTTTACCTCACAGGAGCTGTGTCTGGTTGTTGTCATAAAGATGTATTATAATGATAAAAGCATGTTAGAGTTGATTAGATTCTTGTCCATCCCATTGACTGTAAATAATATAGACTCCTTGTGGCCTGTTCTCCACATTCAAAATAAGTCTCCAGCACCATGGAGAGATCTTAAAAGGCCCCACCCGCAGAAAAGTTGAAACAAGGAACTTTTATAAGATTTCACCTCTCCCTTTCTCCAGAGTAGATAATCCTAATCCTAACCCTAAATGGTCACACACATGTGACTCTTCCTAATCTGCAAGGCACAGAATGGCGGCCTGTTGAACCAGACCAAATCAGGAAAAAGTAACTAAGGAAAACTTCAAATCAGCAACATGTGACCACTGCAGAAGAGGACATCACATAATGGACTGGGATAACGCGAAATAGAATGAACGGAAGAACAGAAATAGAAGATGGAGACAAAAGGAAGCTGTGTTGTTGCAGCTCCTCAACCTCCAGAGGACGTTGGATTGTAACGAAAATAATATTAACTTATTCACTACAATGACTCAACAAAGAGAGTTTATGCTATAAACAAATGAAGCCACACACACACACACACGCACACACATTTTTTTCTCTTCTTTAGAAAAGAGTGTAACTTTACCATTGTAGGAAACCCAGTTATTTGAGAGTAATCTCAGGTCTTGTTCTCAGTGAGGGAAGGATGCGGCATGTGCAGTGGGAAGAGTATTGAGAGAGAGACACCTCCTCCCACATTTGATCACCACCGTGTATGAAGAGAAGGATTAATTACATGTGTATGTAATTATTACAATACATTATTATCAAAATGTATTTTGTTTTTTTGTCCTTTTCCTCCTTACTGTTCACAACACTCACAGCGTCACTCTCTCCTCAAACAAACACTTTTTTCCCATGTCCAAAAAAGACTATTCTGAGGTTCACTTTTCTGTCCAAAAACACTTTCACCTTCTTCTTTGGAGCCGGATTGCTCGGAGGTGACATCACTGGCCCATGGGGGAAAGCCAAATTTCCTATTTTTGGGGAAAGTGAACCAGAAAAACTTCTGTGTTTTCCATCACAACAGCCATCCCGTTCTTTGTGGGCGCTTTTATCAGAGCTTTTAGCAGCAGATAAGAAGGCAGGGTCACAGACTGAGGTGCAGACTGTAGGGGCCAGTGACAAGAGAGCAGAGAGCTGAGGCACAGAGCTGGGGCAGAGACCCGGGGCAGAGACCCGGGGCACAGAGCTGGGGCACAGAGCTGAGTCTGTTTTTGAGCTTTGGAATTACAACATGAGGTCAATTTACTCTGCAGACTCAGTTTTGACCTGGGTTGAAATGCAGTGTTGACTTAGGCTGTGGATTCCAGACCCAGGCTGTAGACCCAGGATTGAGGTTCTAAATCCATGTCTGAGGCTTAGGACCCAGGACCATCATTTCCAATGTATAAAGATTCTTAAACTAACGTCCAAATAAAAAACAGCTTCAGAACCTTCTTTTCTACTGGTGATTCAAATGTGTATTTTTATTTACTCTCTGTAATCAAAGCCAGAATGTGTGGTCCTATTTGTCATGCTTAGTCGGGCATTTCAAAAATATTCAAATAAACAGCATAAATAAGAGATTAGTTTAAGAACCTGCATTATAAACCACAGCAGAAAAGATTGTTATTGTGAGCACCCGAGGCGTAGCTGGGATAATTCAGCATAAACATACAGACCAAACATATTAACTTATGGTCTTCATGGACCATGGACTCTGGACCATTGACTGTGAATCAGACAGTGATGGGCAGTAGCGTCGCTACTAGCTTACTACATTTTTCAGTAGCTTGACAGTAGCGTCCTTATTTACAAAACCTAGTAACTTTTCTGTAGCTAAGCTATATTATTGCTCAAGTAGCGCGGTAGCGTCCGCCAAAGCTATTTTCTCACGGACATCTCTGTTCATATATTACAGCATTTTCCCGCAGCATAAAACAAACATATAGAAAGACAGAATGCTGATGCGCATGCGCAGGGCTTGGTAACGACACACACACACGAACGTACGCGCACGCGCACACGCACACACACACACATGCGCGCGCGCTACTGGGGGAAGCAAAAGCATGGCAGAGAGCCCAGGAGCCGCCGCGGTGGAGGAGGACCATGATAAGGACTCTCAAAGTGTTGTACCGTGGCCATACCTCCAAAAGTACGTCGCTCTAGTCGAGATGAGCGAAAAGAAATATGTTTTCAGATGCCTACTCTGTAATCCCAAGAGCAAGTTCCTGTCGACGTCAAAGACATCTAATACAAACAGGCCAATAATGGCACTTATTCACATTTGTTATAATGTATATTGTTATAAAAACAGTAATTTGTGATGACTCATTGTTTTTGGTGTTTTGGGCTATTGTTCAATAAATATCTAAGAAATTTTAACCTTTATCTGACTGACAGTTTATCTCAAATAAGAAGATAAGCTTTATTAATCTCACACAGGAGAAATTTACATGTCACATTTGGCATGGATAAAACACTCAAGAATTGTGCAAAAAATAAGAAATGAGCAAACATGTTAATGCAGGAAAATATAAAATTGCATGAACTGCAGTTTGTTTAATTGAAAATAGCTTCTATATAGCAAGCTACTTTTGACAGAATTTTGTAACTTAGCTTGCTACATTTGAATGGGTGGTAGCTTCTGTGTAGTGAAGCTGAATTTATTGTAGAGTAGCTTGTAGCTTAGCTCACTACACAAATCAAGTAGCTTGCCCATCACTGGAATCAGAGACTGTGGACCATAGACTGTGGATCATTGAATGTGGACCAGACAGTAGACCATAGACAGTGAACCATTGACTTTGGACCACAGACTGTCCACCATAAATATACGGACCATACATATGAACATATGATGTTTATGGACCATAGAGAGTGGACCATGGACTCTGAAAAATTGACTGTGAATCATAGACTGTGGACCATAGACAGAGAACCATTCTCTGTGGACGAATGGTGCTAAAAATAATGCACATCCTCTTCACAGCATTATTCACTCACTCCAAACAGGGTGGGGGTGCCATCAGCCCCTTCCACCACCGACTCATTCTAATGTGGGGGAAGTGTCTTGCCTAAAGACATAACCACAGTTTGGCACTTTAGCCGCCCTCACATGTTGTGGTACCTGTTTTTCCCAGAGGTCTCCCATCACTCTACTAGCCAGGCCCTGTCTTGCTCAGCGTCAGAGGTGTGACAACATCTGGCTTTCACGTGCAGGTGGCGCCACTATAAACACATTCACTGCATGTCATGAAACCAGACCCTGTGTCCCCTTTTTTGCACTCAGTCAAAGTCATTGTTCCAGCTTCAGATTTCATAAAATACAGTATGAATATTAATATGTTGTGGATTTTTATAACTGCTCAAATAACCTGACAAATACCTAATTAAGACAGCTCTCTGGAGGGGCAAAAAATCACAGGAAATCTGGAGAAGGTTTGCAAACTCTAGGACCACCTGAAGACATGGTATTGGTTCAATCCTTTTAAGACTCATATCTGGATAGTAGATAGTATTGACGGCGGTAGAGAGCAAGTGGTGAAAAGGTGGTACTGCACCCTAAAACTCCCCAGAAAGGGGACGGCGCTCTTGAGCAAGTGGTGAAAGGTGTTACTGCACGGTATTTTTCAAAGAGTTTTAATGAGTTAGATTCTGTTGACCCTGTGTGTGTGTGATAAAGTAAATGCTTTCACAGTTGTCTAAAGTGATTTATGATCACGGTTTATTCTAAAACAGCTAAGTTGCAGGTCCTCCCTGTTAACGGCACTTAGGTGTATGTGTGTGATAGCGTTATCATGATGACGGTTGGGAGGTCGTACTAACAGCAAATCAGAATGGGTGGGAGGTCTATTAGAAGTTTTTCAATGGTTCAAACGCTTTGCGACTGTCTAAGAGAAGGTTATGCAATATGTCTAATACAGGTAAGTTATTAATATAACATTTTTCAGTATTCATATTAAATGTTTTAATTTAGTTTATCTCTAGGAAAGGGTCGTTTATTGACACATTATAACACCGATGAAGATTTAACTCCAACAGCAAAAGTTACGAGAGGTATACAGCCAACGGATGAAATAGGGTAAGATCTCATTTTCCTTAATGTCTTAATCAGATGTTTAATACTTTTATTTCATTTTATACAGCACAGGTAAATTAAACACCAAGTCAATGCCCCTGATGCATAAATTAAAACAATTAAATCAACATAAAGCTCCGTAAGTCGGTACATATACTAACTTTATATAACAAGTTTTAAGAGAGGTATATTTTTTTTTCTAGAGCAATTCTATCACGCCGCAACGGACACAAAATAACTAATCACGGGGATGATGATGATGATAAAAGGTGAGTTACATATTATAATTTTATAATGATAGAGGTTATAATTTTCTTCTCACTATTTTAGCTCATCAGAGGGTGACGAAGACACAGAGAATCAGCCCTCAGTAAACCAGGATTTCAACATAATCGATTTTATAGCGACACTCGACATTGATGCCATTATACGCGATGAAGGTATACCAAACAACGATCAAGATGTATTAAACGCAGGAACACCATTCCCGGACCGTGAGGAATACTTTGAACCAATATCTGGACACGCAGCAGCTCCTGATGCAGCAAAAGGGCCTGTAAAGAATGCTTTAACACCAAAGGTGAATACTCTACAAGAAAACACACATCTGTTAAACAACACTAGTGAAAAAACGTTTGTGAAAACAGAGCTCTCCAACATACGTGAGGAATTGAAGTCAACCAAGGCACGTTGTGTTAGTGCAGAGATACATACAGACAGGTGTCTAGCAACTGTGAACCAACAAGTAAAATACACAGAGGCCCGTATACTTAACGAAATACATCAGTTAAAGAGACAAGTTCACCATCTTCAAACTGAGCACGTAAAAGTTACTAAACAAGTGTTGGTGTTACAAAATCAGCGTACAAACGCTACTATACACAGAGCTAAACTACGCGCTAGAGGCCAACGAGCCCAACTACAGACACGCGCGCTTCAACGAGAGGTCCTACAATTGCAAACTCAATACACGAAAGCCTCTATACACAACAGGGAATTAGAAACAAAAACCTTACGCGGGGAAATACAAATTCAAAATTTGACTACTGAAATCAACCACCTTAAAAACACGGGAAACGTAATAGCTGATAGAATTGCACAAGTGGATAACCAAGCGAGCACGTCTATAGCGGCTGTTATAGAGCAAATCAATGAAAACACTTCTCATTTGAAAGCCATCGAAAATGCTTACGATTGTGAAGCACACTAAAAGACCTAACGCTACAGCACCCTCTCAACTTCCTAAAAAAATAAGAATTAATTATGGCCAGCGCTCTAACACTTATGCATCAGTGGAACGTTTAATTCGTACTAATTATCAAACAACGCGTAACACTGATAGTTTAATTCGTACTAATTATCAAACAACGCGTAACACGTATCCGTGTATTGATCGACTAATTCGCACAAATCATCAAAGTGCATCCCATGCTGCAGAACGGTTAATAGCACCGACCCATGTCATAGCTGAAAGGGCTTCGCTAGCAGACATTACCTCAAATGCTGATAATGTTGTTAACCAGTCAATAAGTAAAGATACTATTCAACCCACAATACAACAACCTACAAACAACTGTGTAGGTATTAATAGTCAAACTATAGAAATGGATACGCAAAATGACGAACCACCTACACGCAGCTCTGTTTTAAGTCGACACAACAATGTTACAACTGTTTCAAGAAATTGTATAGTTCACACAGAGTCAGACCCCCTGGAGGGTAATGTTAATGAGGGTAACGAGACCATACAAGTGGGTGGTGTTGTACAGATTACTGAACAAAGTGATGTCCCCGCTAACGTACAATCAGGTGGGGAGGTCCATGTTAACGTAATACCAGAGTTTAATACCACGGTAATGTCTGAGCACATTGATTTTCGAGG